ATGGCCTCCAATGGCCTCCAACCTAGAAGCGATGGCCTCCAACCCTCCAACCTAAGAGCGATGGCCTCCAACCCTCCAACCTAAGAGCGATGGCCTCCAACCTAAGATCGATGGCCTCCAACCTACTAGCAATGGCAATGGCCTCCAATGGCCTCCAACCTAGAAGCGATGGCCTCCAGCCCTCCAACCTAAGAGCGATGGCCTCCAACCCTCCAACAAAAGAGCGATGGCCTCCAACCGATGATTTTCAGGTCTCCCAATCCTTTGGTGCTGGTCCTTGGGGTCCTTGGTCTTCTTGACCTATATACTGAGCTGCGACTCAGACCGTGTACCAATCAAGAGTGGGTCAACCAACAAGGAGTGCTGCACCGAAAGCACCTGCGCACATGACTTGTATGTCATCCACGAACGACTCCGCTTGACCAAGCAAGTTGCACCACCCCCATTCAGCGGAAACAAACCCAGGTCGATCAATCCCCAAATTCTCCAAGAGCGTGGCCAAACATCCACCTTTCTCCCAGGCGCATGTTCTTCGACAAGCCAAAGTCTGTGATCTTGACCTTGGTAAAAGGTGCGGGACTTTGGGGAGTCTTTTCTCAGCCATCAAGCCCAATCCATGCTTGCACCATCAAATCTCTCGTCTTCGAAGTTCTTCCTGGGGTCAAACCTAGCCATCTCTCATCATCTCTCCGTGCTGCAGATCGAGTCGCGTCATGCACTTCCGAAGGCACTGGGAAATTTTTCTCTGCAGGCCCTGGGTACGCATAGGTGCGGACCAGTAGCCTTGGTTCCAGAGCCGGAGATTCTTGGAGCATATCTCTTGGAGATTCGTGGAGCACATGTGCATAATGCCAAGCAACACATTCTCAAGTTTCATGTCACGGTGGATAATGCCAAAAGAATGCATATAGCCCATACCTGGATCTGAAGGGATCGGATGACCAGCAAATTCCAAATCTAAGTCACCAAGGCGGCCGTGATTCGAAGGAAACTTCCGTGCATGTAGCACAGATACCGACTACAAATTTGCTCGTCAAACCCAAAAGGACCACAGTCAGAAGAATGAGAACGGCGGAATATATAAGTATATATTATATACGTTTAAGTTTAAGAATTTCAGAAAAAATGAAAGTTGACCCTTGGCAATCACCAACGACCAAACTAAACTCTAGCCATCTCTAGCCCACATGAAGCCCGACACAACAATCCTCACAGGCGTAGGACCCGTTCATTCCATTGTGTGCCAACTGCTTGGGGCCGTGGGTTACACTTCAGGTCTCCGCTCTCGTTGGGTCCACCGAACGAGAGGGCGCTCTCGGCTCGCTCGTAGCGCCCCGCGCCTTCGAGGAGCTGCGTTGCCACATGTCTGGTGGCCAGTTCGGACTGTCCAAGGCCAGGAAAGTGGTCGTCACCTGAAATCAAGGCTTCCTGCCACCACTAGGAACTTTCTAGTCGCCCATCCAATGGGTCAGTAAAAATTGGAAATACATGGAAATACCAATAATAAGTCAGCTGCATTGAAAACGCTCCTGCAGCGAAAGGATAGTCATGAGTCATGTACCAAAAACATCTGTTCGTTGTGACCCATCCCTCTCTCCCTCCCCCTCTTTGCACAGTCCATCCCCTCTCTTTGCGCCCACAGGATGGAAGAACAGGAGGCAGCCGATACAGCGCCCGGAGGATCACCCCTTGTTGGACCATATCAGACTAGGAATCATCAACCTGTTGTACGCCTCAAAAGCCAACAAGAGACGGAAAGCACGCATGTGATCAGCAGCCTCGGGTGGCATTTATAGCTGAGCCGAGGTTACATCATCCAAGCAAGCCATGCATTCAGGCTAGCGGATAGGAAGCAACGGCTGGTCGATCTAGGAGGCTTTTTGTACGGGAGAGGCAAGCCCACACGCAGGATTC